ACTACTACTACTACTACTACTACTACTACTGCTATTACTACTACTACTACTACTACTACTACTACTATTACTACACTACTACTACTACTACTACTACTACTACTACTACTACTACTACTACTACTACTACTACTGCTACTAATACCACGTCTCCTACTAACCTTTTAATACTATCACTACGACTACTACTACTACTTCTACTACTACTACTACTACTAGTACTACTACGACTGCTACTACTACTACTAATAATACACCTATCAATAGTACTACTAACACTACTACGACTGCTACGACCACCAATACGACGACTACTACTACTACTACTACTACTACTACTACTATTACTACTACTACTACACTACTACTACTACTACTACTACTACTACTACTACTACTACTACTACTACACTACTACTACTACTACTACTACTACTACTGCTGCTACTACTACTACTACACTACTACTAGTACACGAATACTACGATACTACTACTACTACTACTACTACTACTACTACTACTACTACTACTACTACTACTAGTACTAGTACTACTACTACTACTACTACTACTACTACTACCACTACCTACTACTACTACTACTACTACTACTACTACTACTACTACTACTACTACTACTACTACTACTACTACTACTACTACTACTACTACTACTACTACTACTACTACTACTACTACTACTACTACTACTACTACTACTACTACTACTACTACTACTACTACTACTACTACTACTACTACTACTACTACTACTACTACTACTACTACTACTACTACTATTACTACTACAAGTACTACTATGACGACGACGACAACGACGACGAATACTACTACTTCTTCGAGCTCGAGCTAGTGGTGAAGCTGTCTGTTAGAACCGTCGCCAGCGCCACATCCCTCTCAGGAGACGGAGGCGACCACCGAGGGAGCCGCCTGACCTAAGGAGCCCAGACCTGCGAGGATCGATTCACCAGCTGCTGCATCTGAGCGTTGCATCTCTTCAGATCTACGCGCCTGACCGTATGCATGCGCCAGAACAGGGCATGATCAGTTAGCACGGAATGGGGCTGCATCGGTTCGATATGTGTGTCGGATCGGGCTGCATCCGCACGGAGTCGGAATCGAATTGGATCGGCCACGCCAGAGAGCACATCAGCACCATGCAAACATCGGTGCCGCATCGGATCGCCAGAATGTCGAAAGCGAACCGAATCGGGCCAGACGGAATCGATATCGAATCGAATCGCTCGGTTCGAAATGGACGCTGACCGGGATAGGAGAAAATGAAGAGGTGTGGTGAGGGGCGGAGAGGGGAAGGGAGGACCGCGTTTGTTTACTCCCGCTTCGAGGGGAAATCAAGGATATGAAGAACCAAAAAGAAGGCCAGCAGTCGTTCTTCAGACTCCGTGCGGAGCGCTTCTGATGCCCGTTCGTCCGTTCGGCCCGTTCGGGCACACTGCCTAACAGCGAATCTTGTCCACAGCCGACAACAGCCGCTGATGGGCAGCCGCCGTTCTGTCTCAAACGGACAACGCCTGCGCGCGGCGACACCGACAGCGAGTCTTGTTCAAATGGGCAAGAACTGTCGTTGGTCTTCGTGCCCATCCTTTCGGTACCCACTCCGATCGCACCGAGTTGTCACCCGGCTGCCGCTCCTCCGCCCCCCCCCCCCCCTGGAGGAGTGAGGGGTAACGACAGAGGGGGCCCAGCTCTGGGGCCAGAGGAACATCGAACTGGAATCCTCCTCCGCCCCCCCCCACCTGGAGGGGTAAGGGGCAACGACAGGAGGGGACCCAGCTCAGGGGGAGGGGGAAACATCGAACTGGAATAGGCCACATGTGGCCGATAGATAGGCGATGGGCCCCCGATAGCGTGCGACCTGGGGATCCACTGACCTGGGCCGATGCACACCCGGGTCACAGTCGGGCCTTGGCAGATCCTGCAGGCTCCTTCGCGCGCAGACCGGGATCGGTGCACCCCTGGCTCCCTGCAGGATCCTGCAAGATCTGGCGACATGGCTGACCCCCAAATGACGAACGAACAACACGCACCCATACCCATAGGGGGGTCGTTGGGAGGAGGACTGGCTACGGGTATGGGTGCGGTTTGTTGGACCGCGGGGGAGGCTCCCGTTCGAGCGGGGACCCCCGACAACACGCACCCATATCCCCCTCCGTCCTCCCTATGGGTGTGGGTGCGTGATGTTCGTTCGTCACCAAATGCATTGACCCCCGTCTCGAGGCTCCCGACGAGCGCCGCCCTGGCCCCCAAGAGGCCGCCGCCGGGGCTCGGCCCGGACCGTGATCGCGGAGTGGTTGGACGGCCAGCCGCAGGAGGGCACGCAGGACTGCGGCCGCGGGGAGTCCACGAACTGCGGGGGCGGCGGGGGGGGGGTCTCCAGGGGTACATGTTCTCCCTACAGGGCACAGGTTCTAATACTTAGGATTGTTAAGGAAATCTATCCCGGCAAAGCAACCTAACAGCGATGTGTAGAAGCATAGCTGGAAACACTGCCTGTGGTTTTCATGTAAGAGTGCTGTTGTAGAATTATGGTGCTCTCGCAGTCGCATTCGGATTCGCAGTGGCAGTCGCAGTGGCAACATCAGCGGCAGTCGCAGTGGCACTGCCAGTAGTTGCAGTAGCAATAGCTACACTAGCAGCAGCAACAGCAGCAGCAGCAGTAATAGTAAGAGTAGTAGTAGCAGTAGAAGTAGTAGTGATGGTAGTAGTGGTAACAGTGAAGTAGTAGTTGTAGTGTGTGAAGTGAACGAGTAGGAGTGATGAGAGCAGTGGTAGTAGCAGTAGAAACACTGCTTTCGATAACGGTATCTCCAAATGAGATATTTGTATAAATGCATCGAGGTCTAAACAAGACACTGCTATCAACGGATGTGATTCCAAACGAGACACTGCGATCAACGGGTTGAGCCTCAAACGACACACTTGCATCAATGAATGTAGCTCCAAAACAGGCACTCCCATGACTGGATTTATTGTGATGTCGTAGTAGTAGTAGTAGTAGTAGTAGTAGTAGTAGTAGTAGTAGTAGTAGTAGTAGTAGTAGTAGTAGTAGTAGTAGTAGTAGTAGTAGTAGTAGTAGTAGTAGTAGTAGTAGTAGTAGTAGTAGTAGTAGTAGTAGTAGTAGTAGTAGTAGTAGTAGTAGTAGTAGTAGTAGTAGTAGTAGTAGTAGTAGTAGTAGTAGTAGTAGTATGGGCACGGACCCGTAAGACCTGAATCTCCACCGGGGTGCTCGGCGAAGCCATTGACGATGATGATGATGTGATGATTGAGGAGGATGATGGGATGATGACCGCGCTACTTGGGTTTGTTCTGTCCGTCTTTCTCGGCCTCCAACCAAATCTTGGAGGACATCTCGCAAACGGAAGAGGAGCGCACTGAGGAGCGGCGTGTGAAGCGGACAGTCGGCAAAACTTGCAGGCTGAGAAGCACCGCAAAAACTCGGAGGCTGAGAAGCACCGCGGCCGCGCAGTCCTACTACTGCTGGAACTAGGATTACAAGTACGCACGCCGAGAAGCACCGTGGACACGCGGGCTCGGATATTTCACCTCTCCCGCTTGTATTGCAGGAAATCGCGCCAATCCGGCGGCTGTCAAGTACCGAGGAGGCGCAGGCTGAGACGCACCGCGCGAGTGCAGGCTGAGAAGCACTACGCGAGTGCAGGCCACGGCATTGCGTGTCACATGAATGCAGGCTGAGAAGCACCACATTTTGTTTGCCAGAAATCACTCCCAGGTCACCTGATCCCGCAACAACAGCCACGGCGTAGCTGCCACAGGGGCCGCAGAGAGCACCGGCTCGGTCACCCAATTGGCCTGTCGGTGAATCACAAGGCGCGCGTGGCTCCATGAGCCATTGTATCGCGCGTTGCGAGGCACCAGTGTGATGTACGTGTTGTTGCCGTAGCAGAAGACGGCCTCTGGGGCCCAGTGCGGATTCCAGCGGACGACGTAGACCCTGTGGACGCCATTCCGGATGACGTCGCGCGCACCCTCGATCTGTGCCACTCATCGAAGCCAGTCAAACGCTGAGCCATCGGAAATGTCAACAGCACCTGGGGCGATCTCGCCATGGTGGTAGTGCAACAGCGTTTGGAGAGCGGCGCTCGCTTCGTCGCGGCCCACAGTCTGGCGCGAGCGGGCGGCCTCTTGCAGGTGCTCCAGTGCGAAGAGCAGCGGGGCATCACCGCCAGGCACGGCAGGCTGAGCAGCGCCACCGCTAGGCATGGCAGGCTGAGCAGCGCTGCCACCAGGTACATCAGGCTGAGTAGCGGCAGGCCCAGGCACCGCAGGCTGAGCAACGGCGCGTGGTGGACCGACATAGGTGGGCTCATCGGGTCGGCCGTTCTTGTGGTAATGCAGGCGCATGGCTGAGCCGTCTGCGCGAACGAACTCAAAGAAGTGCCTGCCGTGGCCATCCGTGTTGGAGTAGTTTGGGTCGCGCTCTGTCTCGACGATGCGAAAGAGAACCCGGACGATGCCCTGGCCGATTACCCGGTCAGCGAGACCCGGAGCGGCAGACCGAAGCAGTTGCTTCCAGTCGTAGAACGGGTCGTTCGTTACGTCTCTGAACGACACGTCGTTGGCAATGCACCGCGTGCGCAGCGCGCGCTGCCATTGGCCTCGGCTTTGAGCTCCTCGGTCTCCGCCTGCTGATCAGCACAGCCCAGGGCCCGCAGTTCATGCAAAATGTGTTTGGGGATGCGGTCGCGATGGTCCGAGAAACGTTTGGCCAACTTGTTTTCGGCCCGTTCTTGTTCGGACGTTTCTTTATTTCGCTTCGGTATCCGGCCGAACTGCTTCACGTGCTCGACGAGCGTTTGCAGAGGACCGCTCAATGCAGCACGCTGAGGAGCAGCGCTGTTCCCTGCCGCAGGCTGAGGAGCACCGCTGTTCAATGCAGCAGGGTCAGGAGCACCGCCGCCAGACCGAGAACTATCCGCATGTCCTGGCATCAAGGTGTGCAGTAGGCGCTGCGCAGTTCCTTTGAAAGGAAATCTTCGAATGCAGGGCTGTAGCCAAGAAGGCTACGGGGACGATGATGATGATGATGATGATGATGATGATGATGATGAGTCTTGAAAGTCTAGGAAGTGGAAGAGCACGAAGTAGCGTACAGCTGGCTCCGGGCATTCTAAATGCGGCCCGGGAGTGGAGTTCTGGGAAGTGGAAGAGCACGAAGTGGCCTGCAGTTGGCTCCGGGCATCCAAAATGTGGCCCGGGAATAAAGTTCTGGGAAATCGAAGAACGCGAAGTGGCCTACAGTTGGCTCCGGGCATCCAAAATCTGGCCCGGGAATGGAGTTCTGGGAAGTCGAAGAGCACGAAGTGACCTACAGTTGGCTCCGGGCATCCAAAATGTGGCCCGGGAATGGAGTTCTAAAAAGTCGAAGAACACGAAGTGGCCTACAGTTGGCTCCGGACATTCAAAATGTGGCCCGGGAATGGAGTTCTGGGAGGTCGAAGAGCACGAAGTGTGCGACTGTTTGTTTAAAACGAGCCCGGCCCTCGCCTGTCCGGCTCCCGCCCAGACCCCCCTGGGAAGTCATCAGATGCTCTCTTTTGACCCCTTTGGAAACCTATCAGTCTTCGCTGTTAGGTAAATGTGGGATGTTTAGTACATGGTTAATTTGTGATTGAATGTAAGCATGAACTCATCGTTGTTACTAATACTGAATCCCTGCATTTGTAATACATGATCCGCACGCGGAGCATGAAATAAAAACGGCACTGTATAGGCTTGCCCTATAGGAGTTCTAACTCAAACCCTACCAATTGGTCCGTTGCCCCACCGCACCCCAATTCCTATGCCCCCCTCCCCCTAATTCCTATGGCCGTGCCTATGCCTATGCCTATGCCTATGCCTATGCCTATGCCTATGCCTATGCCTATGCCTATGCCTATGCCTATGCCTATGCCTATGCCTATGCCTATGCCTATGCCTATGCCTATGCCTATGCCTATGCCTATGCCTATGCCTATGCCTATGCCTATGCCTATGCCTATGCCTATGCCTATGCCTATGCCTATGCCTATGCCTATGCCTATGCCTATGCCTATGCCTATGCCTATGCCTATGCCTATCCCCCTCCCTTTTCCAATGGCACCCCCCTTATGTATGCTTGTTTGCTTGCTTGCTTGTTTCCTTGCTTCCTTGCTTCCTTGCTTCCTTGCTTCCTTGCTTGCTTGCTTGCGCGCTTGCGCGCTTGCTTGCACGCTTGCTTGCTTGCTGAGTTGCGGATTCCAAGCATGCTCGATTCCTCTGATTCCTTGATTTGAGTCGTCTAATCTATTTGGGGTCAACGCTGGCTGACATTTGCTTGCTGATACTGCCCCACCTCCTCCTCGAGACCTCCTCCTCCTCCTCGAGAGCGGATGGGGTCTCGGGTCGAAGAGGAATCCTGCTCGATCCCTGGTCATAGATCATCCTACTCCAGGAGGAGGAGGGGTGTCATCCCCAAGTTCGCCCACCATGATTGAACTTGATTTCTGCGAGCCATCCGCCACCTGCCCATCCGCAGGTCCGTGGCGAGGCGCAGCAGCACAGGCGAACTCCAGCAAAGCCTCGGGGCCTGGATCTGACCCGTCCCAAGCTCAACGCCATACATACAAAAAACAATTCCAAGCTGGAGTAAGAGAAGGAGGAGGAAAACAATCTAGCATTGCGGGTCCAAGTTGTTGAGCGATCCTGGCGGCCATTTTGGGGGGGGGGGCTTCGGGAGCCTCTGAATTGGCAGCCTCCACGGACCTCCCTAGGAGATTTTCAGAGACCGTGGCGCATCATGAGTGCTGGAGCCTGAGGCTAAGCAGAGAAGCGGCACTGGACCCAACCTCTTTTGCTCGCAGCGCCAGCGGTCTCACTGCGCGGTCGAAGCCCACGCTGGGCCGCTGCAAGGCGAGTTGTTAACAAGCGGCCGCGGAGGGGGGACAGGGACAGGCGGCGCACTCATGCCATGAAGGCCCTCATGGGCTGTGTCGCGGCCTCAGGCTCGAAGTCACCAGACCCAGACATCTGGCGCCTCGAAAAGTCGAGGCGGCCAGATGGTCCCCATGCCATGGGTCTGGGGGCCGGGCTCGGGCCCCAGGGCTGCCAAGAGACGGCTCGGGGCGAAAGGCTCGAGAGACCCAGGGGCCCGCGCATCGAGAGGTCAGAGCACCCGCTGTCTGGTGAGGCAGGGATACAGCACCAGCGCTTACAGGGAGCGCCTGTCAGGATGCATCCAGGACCAAGCGGCACGATGCCGGAACTCGACCTTGAGAGCACCTGCCAGGACAGCACACCTCCAGAGCACATCGGCACGAACACGTCCAGGCACTCGATGCTGACCATGAGACTCCCACAGCTACATTGCAA